AGATAGGGAGATGGGGCTGGGTTCGGTCACGAGTGGAGGGAGGCTACGATGCTTCTCTGTGAAGACGGATCGGGAGAAAGGGATAGCCACGAGCTTCGGTAGTAAAGGGAAGAAGCGCGGCCAGCCGGGGGAAGGAGCTCGAGCGTGAGAGTGAGGAGTTTTCGGTGCAGAGCGGAAGAAGAGAGGAGCCAAACAGGAGAGACCATGCCAGGAAGGAGCTAAGCGGGATTGTATAGCCGAGGTGAACGTTAAGGGAGATTAGGTGGGGAATTAATTTGTTTCCATTCACGTAGCTGGGTTCAAATGGAAAATTTTAACTCCCAACTAAATGACGAATTTGAAATTCAAAAATTTAAAATTCAAAATTGTTTAACCTTTGTTCAGCCCGAGTTCAGCCCAAATCGAACCTGAGTTGAACCTGGGTTGAGTCTGGGCCCGCGCCCCGCTATCGTGCATCAATTTTCGTGTTAGCCGCTCACGCGCGAAACCATAGTGATATGGGTTGCCTTTCTGGCTAAAGTTGACGTTCTGGACGCTTTAGCGCGGTTCGTTTCGTCATCCGGGTTCGTCCGGACGAGTTCGCCGACGGGCAAGTCGATTTAAGCCAAAATCGTGTATGATGCAGTGAGTGCGTGAAATGCGGCGTTCACGAGTAATCAAGTCACAAAGGGTTCACCTATGGTCATTTGATCCTATGGGAACTCATTTTCGGGCCTTGTACATGTTGGTCTTTAGCCCTTGCAACTAGAAGTTGAGTGCTTGGAACCACTCATGCGAGCTCTTCACAAAAAAATGAGTTGAGAAGTGGCTTGAAATTCTACAGGAGGTAGGCTCCATTGCTAGTCCGCTAGGATGGTCAATAAGAACTCTTAAAGCTAGATCCTAGGTTCTAAGAGTAGAAGACTAAGACCTCACTAAAAATGATGTCAACAAGTTAGCTCTAATGGCTACTATATTGCGAAGATTCTTCCCGAAGGCTAGCGAACTCGTGAGGGAGAGGGAATGAGAGAAGAGGAGTCATGAGGGAGGGGGAGACTATGCTTTCGGGTAGAGGGGGAGACGAGCGAGATTAGTAAATTAGGTCATTTGCGTAGGATTTGCATCGAAATTGCGTGAGTTTAATTCATCGCTAACAAGTAAAGTATTTACGTCATTTTTTTCGATGCAAAGTTGACTCAAAATCCATCACAAATCCAAAAGAAGTTTCGCCGTTTCCGGAATTCATATATTGACGAAATATCCGGCGCAAATAGGATGCTAATTCTGACACAAATGTCAAATTATTTTTTGCCTCTTGGTAGTTGCAAATTCAACACTATATTTGCGTCGGAAATTGTAAGGGGATTCTAATATGAGCGGTCGACAACCTTTGGAGGGAGATATATGTTTTTCGTTGGCTGTCTTGGCTGAAAACATATACAATACTAAGAGAGATCCACTATCTGTTTCGAAGCAAGATACAAATACAATACTTACAAAAAGAAAGGATACAAAACTCAGAAGAACATAAAATCGAGAACAAAGTTTTTAAAATATAAATGCAATAATAACAGGATCCTCAACCAGGTTCCAAATATGTTATTTATACTATTAATTAAACTAAATTCTATTTAAGAGAAAAAGGAAAGGAAATAAGGTAAAGAAGGTAAACAAAAAGTCTACCCAATTTGATAATAGAGCTGAAAATCCTGTAAGAGAAGTTTCATTGAATGGGATTCCCGTTGCATTAATCTTGGAAATCCGTGGTTCTGTGGGTCCATAGCTCCCTTGTTTGCTAATAATTATGTTCATGACTTCCTATGTAAATGAATAAAAGTTAAAAAATAAACTTTTGATATTAGAAGCATTTTGAGCTGAATTATTTGAGAAATGATTATGCTAGTTTATCAAAATATTATTGAACCTAGATTGGTATTCATATTTATTAGCACAAAATATTAGTGAAGTTAACCCTGCTCAGTTGGTTGAATATTTTGACTTGTTTTTTATATTCAACTCTTTATTTAGGAATTTTTAAGTGGAGAAGTCGATTTTCTTGGGTATTGTTGGGGCGAAGCATGAATCTAATTAATCTTATAAGTGCTCTCAGGATATTCTTCTTTTGGAATTTTTGTTTGTCAGGATGAGCTAATGAGCAATGCAGAGCTATTTTTCGGCCTTGTCCAAGTGCTTCGTAAATTTCCAAAAGAGACTGGTGATCATGCTTTTCGGCTGCTCTAAGGGCTTTTGTATTTGACACTTGGATTTATTTCGTTTTCTCTTTCTATGTCAGATAAGGTACTTTGTCACTTCTGCTTCAAGACAACAAAAGTCAATGGAGAAGCTCTTAAATCTGCCACTGCTAGGAAAAGTCAAATGCTGATATCGAACATTATCATTCTCAAGACTGCATTAGATGCTTTACCTCTTCTCTCAAAGGTATAATAATATGCTTACTTTATACATTGATACCCTTTGCCATAAGTAAATTGGACAGTTCTACTAAAATGATTTTTCTTAACGTGTGTAGTCTTAATTCTTTTTTATTAGGGCATAGAATTCCAACGGGAGTTGTCTTGCATGTTTCTACGTTTCATTGTAAAATGCATTCCATAGACTACTAGTTCAAAAAATTTTGAATTGAAGTTATTTCGTTCTGATGGAATTTATGGTAGACCTCAGGTTCTTAAGAATGCGAAGAGTTGCCTACTCTGCAATATTTACAAGTCAGTCTGTGAAAATGAAAAGTACACACAAATGAGAAAGAGGTTTGATATTACAACATTATTTCCTTTTTCTTTTATTTATCCCATGTATTTAATTAAAAAAGTTTTTAATATTGTTAGTAGTTTTTCTGATTCACACAGGGCACCTTGCATCACATAGCAGTACAGTGAAGATACTATCTTGCAAGTGTATTTTCCTGTTCAAATATCTGTATCTTCTATCATGAAAGTTTAAGGAGTTCGAACTTTCTCTTGAATACCGACAAATTAACTCGAGTACATGCTAAAATAGATTTTCTTAGACCACCATGGATGAATTTTCACCAATCCTTTGCTCTCTGTAGAATCGACTGTACTCAAAACTGCGGCCGTTCTGTATTAGAATTTTGTTGTGCTTGTGTGTTTTTACTTTCTTCTTTAGGATATCTCAACATCTTGTTCTTTAAGGCTATGCGGAATCTTGGTAAAAAAAAAATATTAAAAGCCTTCCTCGCCTTTAAAAATCTATCGTTTCATGTATTAATTAAACTTTCAAATTTATTATATAGCTATGATGGTAGGTGAGCTTTTTTGTTAATAAAGTTTTTTGGTACAACTCACCATTGATGTATAACATAGAGGGCAGCATCCTGCCTATCACGCTTAATTTTATTATTCTATGAGCTGCATCAGGTTATATGTAAGGCCTAATCCTCATTTTAGAAGGCATGAAGCATTATTGTTATATTCATTTTTGTTAACATATTTTTCTATGTATGTAGACCAGAGCATGAAGTATCTTTTGAGAATTACATATAGGGTAGGGTTCCATTGAGTAATAGGGAATATATAGAAATCTAGGACTTTATGTGCAAGAATGCATAGACTCTACAAAAGTCCAAGTCATTAATCAATAAATAAAGTTTTCAAAGAAGTTAATTTTTTATGATATCTGAGCACTAACCCTAGTCATCGCTAGTGATGCTCGATTCGATCAGTTGGAATCGGCGTACAGAGACCGGTAACTCTCATTTTTCCTCGTCCTCGCAAAGCAACCGTGACTAGAGCTAACTGGGACGATAATCATGTACCTCAGATATAGTCGTGGTTAAAGCTAGCGGTATCACGACCCGACTCGGGGCTTAGAATTAACCCAGACAAGTACAGACGGTCGAACTGTGTGAATTAAATTTTCTATATTAACTTACAATTTGATAGATGAAAGAACAACTACAAAATAAATTAGAACGACATAATTGCCTCCTTGCTAGTTGTCTCCGTCATCTAAAATATTTCTCGTCTATCGCTTATCTTTTAATAATTTAATTAAATTTGAAAGTTAGTTAAAACAAAAGCAAGCTAAATAAAACTAATGAATACTCGCTCTTAAACTACAACAATACAAATAAAAAGAACAATATGCATGTCAGTTAAGCTTCTTTATAAATCAATATAAACATTTTATATGTTATTCAAAGAGTCTATATAAATATCATATCAATATCATCTCATATCTATATAATCGTCAAAGTAGCATCGTTTAAAAGTTTGTACAACTTTAGGTACTTCAATATCAAATATCTTTTTTCCATTTACATGTATGGGTAAATTAGAATTCCCCCACTAGTTCTATCAAAGGATGACTCCATCACAGTTAATCATGCACATGCAAACGTACTATAAATCATTTCATTTACGTTCTAATAAATACCGAATGCTTTTCTTTTATAACATGCATGGGTAGTAAATATGTTTAATTTTACAAATCATTTACATTAATTTCTAAATGATCAAGTTGAATAATAAGACAGAATAATCGTATTCTAATTGCAGCAACAAGATATCTTGACTAATGACATTTTAATGCGAGTGATTGAGAAGAAATACAATATTATTTTCATCATTTAGATTTAAAAATACTCACCTTGTTAAAGACAATCAACTTGCTCTTGACGTTGATTAATTGGAAGCCTACCATAACTATAATATATGAATTATTATATTAATTATCTATTAACTTTTCATAATAGGAGAGTAGGTGTTTTAGATTCAACTTATGCTAAGAAAGACAGAGGTAAACCTCGGAAGACTTGGGCTTATTGTATAAAAGTTGATCTTAATTTATTAGAATTAAATGAAAATATGACACTAAATAGGACACAATGTAGAAAAAATGATTCATGTAGCCGACCCCACGTAATGGGATTAAGGTTTGTTGTTGTTGTTGTTGCTGTATTAACTTTTCATAATTATGTGTAAAATTATAATATCTTACTTTATGTAATCCCACTTAATTATTATTATTATTATTTTTCAATTTATATATATATATATATATATAATATTATTTTTACTATTATTAAATTTATTATTATATTCATAAACATTTGCTCGGTCAGCTTTAACCCACGCGAATGGTCTCTTTCCTTCGATCAGACACGAGCTGCCTGCCCTTCTTCCTCTCTGGTCTTTGCATGCGAGAACCCTCGACGTCGGCTCCTTCTATGTGAGATTCAAATCACACACGAGCTTGCTTCGATGGAATGCCTTTTTCCTTTAGCTTCTGCTCATGCATAGTTTTTTCTTTTGAGCGTTCGCACATCTCGCGAGCTTCTTCTCTCTCATCTTCCTTCAATTGACCAAGACACCGTCGCAGAGCCGCTCGCTTTTCAGTTAAGTCTTCAGGGTTGCTTCTACGTCTCGATCCCCCTCTGCGTCAATTTATAAGCGAACTTACATGTTCGGTTTCTTGACCCTATTGCTTCTTCTTTCCCTTCTTTGGCTCCCGAACTTCTCGTTTCCTCTTCTCTTTTCCTTTTGTTTCCCCATTTCTTCTCCTCCTTATCGTTTCTTCTTCCGAGAAACAGAAGTTGACGTTACAATTTTCCCCAATTACAAAAATTTCTTTCTCAAAATTTATAAACAAACTTCAAGCAATTCGACATTTGCTATCCATGAAATTACGGGTCATATTAAATGTAATCACTTAAAGGTAAAGACTCAATACAAGATGAATTAGTTATGCTTTGGATAACAATACACAGTTTCCGACGCATATGCTAGGAAAAACACCAAACTCATCAGACCTCATCACCTTCAACAACAGTAGGTTCTTTAGGCTCACTATGAGCAAGGGAATGTACTCCTCGTCAAACAAGTTGTCTTGGTTGACCTTGGTTTGGAGCTGAAGCTATAGACTTTATCTTTTTTTGCCCGCCTGCCGACTTCTAAGGAGTTTCACCTGATTTCTGTTCTTCAGTGCTTTTCTGGCAAGAGATGAACAATATCTTGTTATATGACCAGACTGACGACACCAATAGTAAGCGTTAGAGCCCATCAACGATTCACCTTTATGTTCTCTTCTGCATTTGGCACAAGTTGCTCAAGTACCCTAAGTCGTACCTTTGTTAACTCTATCTGAGTTATTCTTGAACTTCTTCTCATTGGTTCTCTCTGAGTGATTTACATGTTCCTGCAGTCTTCTTTTTGCGCATCTCCTTACGCTTCTGTGTAAGATGATAATTGATCTCTATTCTTCTAGCACTAACACTGAGTATTCAGCGATTCTTAAAGGTACTAGTGGTTGTATGATATAATCTTTTAGTCCTTAAAGGAATCTATAACACTTTTCTTATGTAGTAGCGATTAACTGTGATGCATACCTCGAAAGTGCACTGAATTCTGCTTCGTACTTCATGATCGTTTTGTTTCATTGCCTCAACTTGATGAACCTGTCCCACATCTGTCTTCGAGCGGATGGGGTACAAACCATTCTCTGAATAGATTCACGAATTTCTCCCAACTAACTATCGTGTTGGGTATGCCCTCTAACCTGTCTTAACGCTGCTTATGCCACTCTTTCGGCTTCTTCATCCGTCACAAATGTCGCCAACGTTACTCTTCTTTCATTCGGAGAAGCCATGTTATCTAGTATCTTTTTTATCCTCATTGGTTTGTTCTCTGCTTCAATCGGGTCTTCTGTTCCCTTTAACAGAGGTGGATATTGACTTTGAAATATCTTCAAGAATTTATCCTCAACAATTGTATCATTAGACTAGGATCTGGACTTCTGAATTAGCTGAGTCATGACCACCATCATTTCGGTGAGGACATTCGTGTTCACATTAATAGTAGGTTGTATTATTTCATTTTATGTCAGATTCTCTTTTCTATAATTTTTGGTATATCACTATACCTGAATAGATAATAATTATTTCTTTCAATTAACTTTAATTTTTATAAATATTAAATTTTTTTTATAATTTTTTTATTGACTCTTTTATCAAGATTTCATTAATTAATCCGAAATCCTAGGCTCTGATACCACTTTTGTCATGACCCGACCTGGAGTTAGAACTACTAAGGCGGGTACAGACAGTCGAACGGTGTGAATTAAATTTTCTATATGAACTTACAGTTTAATCGACGGAAGAACCATTACAAAATAAATTAAAGTGGTAGAATTACCTCGTTACTGGTTTTTCTCGTCATTTATAAACATTTTCTTGTACATCGTTCATTTTTTAATAATTTAATTAAAGTTGAAAAGTTAGTTAAAACAATAATAAACTAAAAAAAGCTAGTGAATGCTCGTACTCTTAAACTACAATAATACATGAAAAAAGTATAATATGTATTCTATTTAAGCTTTTTTATACATCAATATAAACTTTTAACATGCTATTCAAAGAGTATGTATAAATATCATATCAATATCATCTCATATCTACACAATCGTCACACTGTTTAAAAATTTGTATCACTTAAGGTACTTTAATATCAATATTTTTTTCCATTTACATGCACGGTATAATAGTATTCTCCCACTACCACCATCAAAAGGGGCGACTCCATCATAGTCAATCATGCACATGCAAACATCCTATAAATCATTTCATTTACATTCTAAAAAACACTCAATACTTTTCTTTTATGACATGTATGTGTAGCAAATAAGTTTAACTATGCAATTCATTCACATTCATTTTTAGACGTTCAAATTGAGTAATAAGACAATAATCATATTTTAGTTGCAATAACAAGATATCTTGACTAATGACATT